GGGGGGGGGGGGGGGGGCAGGGGGTAGTAGCAGCAGCAGGATAAGCAGCAGAAGCAGCAGCAGAAGTAGCAGCAGCAACAGCAGACGCAGCACGCCTGCATCCTTAACTGCTGCAAGAATCTGCTGCAACACTTTATTTATTTCCTTCTTTCGATGCAGGGCTTAGCTTTTAGGGCTTATTAGGGGTTTATTAAGGGTTTCTGGTTTAGGGTTTAGGGTTTAGGGTTTCTTAAGGATTTAGGGTTTCTTAGAGGGCTTAGGGTTTATTAAGGGTTTAGGGCTTCTTAGGGGTTTAGTGTTTAGTGTTTAGCGTTTACGCTTTAGGGCTTATTAGGGGCTTAGAGTTTATAGTTGAGGGTCTACAGGGTATAAGGTTTAGGGTTTCTTAAGGGTTTAGGGTTTCTTAAGGGTTTAGGGTTTCTTAAGGGTTTAGGGTTTCTTAGGGGTTTAGGGTTTCTTAAGGGTTTAGGGTTTCTTAAGGGTTTTCTTAAGGGTTTTCTTAAGGGTTTAGGGTTTAGGGTTTAGGGTTTAGGGTTTAGGGTTTGTGTTTCAGGCTTGGATTTGTTTGGTGGAGTTGGAGGTGTTGGCGGAGGAGACGGAGAGGGCGCGGGCAATTTGTGAAATTGCTGCATCGATTGAACAAATGGAGATGCCGGAACTCGTACTTATTTTATTTTATTTTATTTTATTTTATTTTGTTTTGTTTTGTTTTGTTTATCTTTATCTTTGTCTTTGTTTGGTTTAGTTTATTTATTTAGATTTGTTTGTTTTAGTTTGTTTTAGTTTATTCAGTTCGTTTTGGTCGGTTTTGTTTGTCCTATTTACTTTTGTCATTTTATTTTATTTTATTTTATTTTATTTTGTTAGTTTTAGTTGGTTTTGTTTATTTTTATTTATTTTTATTTAGTTTTATGTTTAATTTAATTTAATTTAATTTTAGTTTATTTTTTTTTAGTTTGTTTATTTGTTTTTTTAGTTTTTTAATTAGTCTTTTCTTGTTTTGCGGATTTTTCTTCATTTTAACGTATTTTTACGTATTTTAATTTATTTAATTTGTTTTAGTTTATTTAATTTGTTTAAATTTATTTAATTTGTTTAAATTTATTTAATTTGTTTTTATTTATTCCTGTCTTTATGTCTCGTTGGGGTTTGCTCGTAGTTTCGTCCCTCCTTTGCATTTATCTTGTATTTATATTAGTAGTTTTTATTTATATTAATATTAATATTTAAGTTTTTAAATAAACTTGTTTGCATTTGAATTTTGATCTGCGTCTCTTTGTCTTCCTATCTCTCTATGTATATCTATATCTGTCTATATCTATTTATCTGCATATATATATATGTATGTATGCATACATATATTTAGATATATATACATTAAACATCTCTGCACGTATATATACATATATATAAACAATAAATCTAAATATGAACATTTATATTTGTTGTATTGTTGTTGTTGTTGTTTCTTAGATTTGGAAGACGTACATCGATATGGAGATAAACTGGGGGGCGTTAGACAGAGCGCGTGCGCTGTATGAACGCCTTTTAGATAAAACGCAACACGTAAATGCATTTAAAGGATATGCTACATTCGAGTGGAAGAAAGCAGAACAAAAAGACAGAGCCAGACAAGTAACGCCAACCCATATATATATATTTATGTATATATATACATATATGTATATATATATATGAAAATGTATATGTATATGAGTATGTATATGTAAATATGTTTGTATATGTACATGCATATATCTTTGTGTGTTAAGGCGTGTATGAGTATATACCATATATGTATATATATTGTAGCAAGTATAGGGGATGCAAGTACATGAATAGTGCGCGGTGTATTATATATATATATATATATATATATATATATACGGTATATATTTTTTATTTGCATATTTTATGTTACAATTAGATATTTGATTGGAATGGTGACGCCTGCTAGCTCGCACCATAATACTACAATAATTTGTTTTATTGCTGAGTTTTTTCTGTATTGTTTGCTTTTGTATCAGGTTTTAAACAGAGGCCTCGACGTTTGTAAGGCGAATGGCTGGGATGAAGATCGTGCGGCTTTATTGGAAGTACGTATGAATAATGAATGCTTTAAATGAGTAAATTAAATATGAAACAAAGAAAGTATATTTATATATTCTTACTTCATTATGAACATTAAAATCGAATCATTATGAACGCACACGTTGTTGTTGGGGTGTATGCATGTACACCTGCGCAGCATTGGCTCGCGTTAGAAAGAGAAGGGGGCGATGCACAGGCAATTCAGCGAGTATTTCGACTTCTTCCTAAGAAAATTAAAAAAAGAAAAACACAAAAAAATGCAAATGGAGTTGAAGAAGTTACGGAGACCCTGACGTATGTCTTTCCGGATGATGAAGGCTCTGCTGCGGTGAGACAAAAAGAAACAAACATTTGCTGCATGCATGCATGCATAAGTAGATAGATAGATAGATAGAGTATGCTTGGTTTTATTATTCAGTAGCCACAAAGTGCTGCTAGGAAGGGAGAGACGCCCTTCCGTGTTGTTGTTTGTGTTTGCTTTTTTTTGTCTGTGCATGTGCATGCGTTTCGCCTTACGAATAAGATAAATTTTATTGAAAATGCAGTTAGTTGTCTTGCATATATGAATGCATGCATGCATGGCCAGGTGCATGTACACTTCAGGGCTGTACGGGTCTGTATGCGTCTGTTGCTGCTGCAGAACCTCAAAATACTGCAGGCAGCCAAGATGTGGAAGAAGCGCCAGCTGGAGGCGCAGAAGTAGCCGTCTGCTGCCTTTATGTTAGGGTTTAGGGTTTAGGGTTTAGGGCTGGCAGACACCGCGTTCAGTGGCGGGTTGCATGCAGCAGCCAGGTGTAGAGGGAGCGCATGCGAAGCTTCGTCTCCGTCTCCATTTTACAGGTTTGCGTGAGTTCGCTGCCTTTCTTATATATATATATATATA